CGCACGTAACAGAAGAAAAGAACCTAGCAAACACAGCAGCATAAAACAGCAAAGAAAAAGCAGACGCAGAGAAACACACACGCACGCGAGACAGAGGGGACACAGTGAACACACAAAACACACGCACAACACGTAAGCTCTTCACACACAACTCTCCCTATTTCTGCTTTAAAATAGACGACAAAAAAGATTGAGTAAGGGACACGGGAAAAGGACAGAAACTGGAGAGGGGACGAGGAAAAAAAAACAGAAGAGAAAACAGAGTAAGGGAGGAGAGAAGAGGAAAAGGGGATGAAGAGAGAGAAGAGGAAAAGCACAGAAGAAAAAGAAAACCAGATAAAAAGGAGGAGAGAAAGCCGAGAACTGGAGAGTGGAAGAGGTCATAAAAATGAAAGAAAAGAGCATGGAGGGGTTAGAAAAAAAATTGATGGTGAAGTAAAAAAAGAGACGGAGTAAGAGAGAGGAAGCAGCACAGTAATAAAGGAGACCGAGAGAAAGAAAGAGAAGAGAGGAGAAAGAGAGAGCACGGATGAGAAAGAGAGGAGAGAGCAGAAAGAAAGAGAAGAAGGAGATAGCACAAAAACAAAAGACGGAGAGGAGAACAAGAGCACAGAGAAGGAGAGAGCACGGATGAGAAAGGAGAGATAACAAAGAGGAAAAATGAGAGAGAAAGAGACCGAGAAGTAATGAGGCGGGGAGAAACTCGAAGTAATTGGGAAAGGAAACAATGGCGCAACTTCAAGTCCAGGTTCTTCATCCCTGCAAATTACACTCTTGCAAACTCACTCGCATGGCCCCTTCTCTCAGCCCCCCACCTTTACACTCTATTCTGGAAGATCCCTTATGTTGCCCAGTAGAACTGTACTTCTGTATCCCCGAGACTGAAGGAAACCGGAGAAATGAGTGAACGTGATATTCTGGATCATATCCTTAATATTGGAATATTTGTGGCAGATTACTTCTTCAGTTGAAGAGGAGGAATGGACTTTTCTTTGTGGCTTTCTTACTTTCTCACTAGTGTTGAATCAACCTTTTTTCGTGTGTCCTTGTAAAGATTTCCTGAGGTTGGAGAGATTCTTGAAGTGCTTATATTGGGGCAGTTGGTGATAGAGAAGGTTATGGAAGCGGCTCAAGCTTCAACCACATTATCAGGTACCTTCCGTGGAGCCTACTTAATGCAATGTCAGGTATAATTTTGTTCCATTCTTTGTAAGTTAGCTTTTACATGCACAACTAGGTTATAGCTTTGATTTGGCTCTTTCTTGTTTAAAATTTTGTAGTTCTTTCAAAAATTTCATATGCTTACTTTATTCATTGAAATGATCATATTATTTTTTGGAAAAATTAAGAGCATGCATATGTTTAATATGGGACTATTGTTTATCCACAAATTATTTTTAAAACATCATCTTGATTTTAATTTCGACAAGAAATAAATTGGGTGATTAATGATGGTGATAATATATCAATCCTGTTTATTCTAATTGTCAGATGCACTATAATCATGACAATCATTATTTCTTTTTGAAAGCCATATTTGAGCATTAGGCCAATTAAAAAAATCTTGAAGAATATATCCTCAAGTCAAAAGAATAGTGAGTTGTCAAAATAATTTATTTCTCTCTTGCTTTATGCATAAATTATTTAGTCAACCATAATAATATGTACCGATTGCAAATATCTTGATTATTTATTGTTATGTGAGATTTTAAGAATCTCCATAGGCATTTAAAATGATCCTATGTCATGAAAATTAATAAGATTTCAAAGGTATGAGGATTAATTTTGTATATAATAATATGGGTTTCAAAAGCCCATCATTCAAATTAACTCTTTTTTTATATATAATTTAAATCAATAAAATATTTAAGTCTAATGAGAGATTTTAAGAATCTTCGTTGAGATTTAAATTAAGTACATCATTGTGTGGGATAATAAATCCTCACAGATATGTAATTATCACTTTGTATACAGTGAATAATAAATGATTTTTGTAAATAAGATTATAAATATTTTTTAATAAATTAATTAATTAAATTAATACATTAAATCTTTTAGTCATGTGAGATTTTTGAATATCCATAGACCTCTTGAATAATCATCTTACTATAAAGTCAATAAGACTTTGTAGGTATAGCGATTAAAATTTTTAATATTTTAAAATGCAAATTATATAATTACATATTAAAATATTTTTAAAATATATAATATTTAATCCTTTATGGTGTGAGGATTTTGAACCTCCGTAGATATTTAGGATAATCGTATTACCGTAAAAGTTAATAAGGCTTTGCAGGTATGTGATTAAGAGTCTTTTTTTTTTAAAAAGAGAGAAGTATATTGAATACACTAAAAAAATAATAAAATAAAACTTAAGTAATAAATTAAGTTGTTAAACTCTTTTATCATGCAAGCGTGTTGGATTCCCGCAGATATAAAGAATAATTGTATTACTGTATGAGCCAATAAGACTCTACAGGTATAGCAGTTTAAATTCTTGATCATAAATATAAAAAATAAAAAATAAAAAAATTCTTAAAATATTTTCTTTCTTTATTCCAAAATTTAAAAATAAAGGAAATAATTGAAATTAAATCACTTTTTGCAATTTAAAATACACATATCAAAATTTCAGAAAATTGTTTTATTTACAAAGGGTGAATTATTTCTGATTAATTTCTCTTAAAAAAATATTTTCACACCAACAAACTTATAAGTCCGAACTAGACGTGGACTTTGATCCCCATTATAGGGTACGTAGGCCGCAAAATTTGATTCTGAGTCAAGTCCTTCCTCATAATAAATAAATAGTTCTCACTTAATTCTTATCATTTTTTATAAATCAAACACTGAATATAGAAAAGGGATAATTAAAATAATTTTAAAACTATATTTACATAGCACAATAAACTTTAGGTAACCGTTCTCATGAATGGGGTGTGGTGGGGTGCCCAACACCTTCCCCACACTCAACCAACTCCCAAACCTATTTTCTATTTTCGCAGACCATCCTTATCCACCTTTAATCGGTTTTTCGAGATTTTTCTCAAAATCTTGGTGGCAACTCCCATTTCTTTGGTCTTCCTTCCGAAGGCCAGAACCTCCACTCTCATGCCGTCTGCATCGCATTTTCAGGTGTGTGACAACTTTAATTGTATACATATATCTATTATGAACTAAATATTTATTTATTGTTAATAAATATTATACCTATTTTTTTTACTTTTTAAGGATAGAGGGGTGTTTGTTTGAAGAACAAACACCACCTTTGTACATCATTTATTAAAAAAATAATATATTAAATATTAATAAATAAAGATTAACTTGATCTTTAATTATTATTTTTACTAATATTTATTTTTTGTTTGATTATAATTATTAAGTAATATAGGTAATTATTAATAGCAATAACTATATTAATATTTTTATAAGTATTTTTTAGTACTTTAATGGGATACATATATCTATTATTAATTAATATTTACTTATTTTTAATAAATATTATAGCTAATTCTTTTTAATTTTTAGTCAAAGCGGTTGTAACATCTAGAAAAATTCCACTCTGGTTTATGAACCTAATGAGGGTAATTAGTGAGTTAAGAGGTGTGTGGCCCGAGAGGCTTAACTTGGCATAAATGTTGTGATTTTAGCCTTAAAAATGGATCCAGATCGATGACAAGCCACTCGAGCAAGGAAAGAGGAAGAAAAGTAAAGAATTGTTCTCTGTGCGGCGTGTAGTTGGTTCGTTGTAGCACACAAAGACAAATTTAAATGTAACGGGTTCTTCTGTTCCATAGGCCATGACGCACAACCAAAATTTTTTATAAATCAGTTCCTGTGCTGTGCAAAAACAGAAGAGAAAAAGAAGAAGAAAACAAAGAGCTCAAATTTGGCTTTACTAGGGCGTGGCATTGGATTCTATTATTGATAGATTAAAGCTCCCAAATGCCCAAGGTAAGTTTATGGTGCCTTCTTCTTACTTTTTCTCCCTTATTTATGATGATTTATGGTAGGGTTTGATTTGGAAGATGGATTTTAGATCCATAAGAGTATGGGTCCAATTTCATTGGTTAAAATAAGTATAATGGGAGTTGTTTAATATATTGGAATACCACATAATAATTTTAAAAGTGGTTGGTCCATAGGAGCATTTATTATCCAAAAATTGATATTTATGAGATAGTTGGGAGAGGTTTATGTACATTAATGATGGTTTAAGGTGTTATTAATACTAAGGTGCATTAATAAAATTTTATGAGCCCATTAGGTATGAATGGATAGTGATTAAGAATTGATAAAAATAGAGTGTATGGAGTTTTATGTTGATAAAGCTTCAAGAGTTAGATAATGATGAAATTCTTGTGGTATGGATGTAGAGAGGTTCGCTTTTGGCACCATTCGAACTTGTTGAAGCTTTAGGAAGTTGGTATAATGAGGGGTAAACTTTTGACCTCTCAAAGGTTTGAGGTAACCAAGGGAAACTTAATCTTTATAATTGAATGTTAATTGTGTTTGTAAAATGTGAATTATGAATTAAATTAATGATGCATATTGAGAAAATGTTTAATTTGTGAAATGGTTTTTGGAAAGAAAACCTTAATTTTTTCACCTTTGGTGTTTTATAAAATTGATTATGATTTATTATTATTGGAATAGAGAATTATGATATATTGTGTCAAATTGTAGAGTATTGAGTATGTGGGTTCACGTATTATGAATTGATTGTTAAATTACATATTATGTGAGAAATGTGCATAGCATGATCATTGGCGAGAGTTCGTCTAGGGAGAGGAATAGATTGATTGAAATCCATATGGTATTAGCAGTGATCATTAGAATTGGGAACTAGTCTTGGCATTGACTATTGAAATCGGGAGGTAGCC